GCAAATTCTGTCAAACATATCACTTGAAATTTCACTTGTCAAAAAAACAAAACCGTATTTACATATCCATTATTGCAGGTATCTAATTATTCAAAAATATAAAAAATAATAAAAAATACATTTTCATCCTTCATTTAAGGCTCTATATAACTCAGAAATTGATACTAAAATCTGTTCATTTCAAACAGTCAATATCTTTCAGTTGAGAGTTTATCACACTCAAAGGCAATTTTCAATAAGAATAACACTAAAGTTCAAATTTTAAGTCAATGGGAATGGTGTCATATTTAGACCATATTCACTATGAAGAACTAGACAACTAATGTGTCACTATACATTTAAACAATGATGACTGAGGATGGGGACAAGTGGGGAGGCAGACAGTGGTGACCTCTGGAAGATGGAATCTCTTCTCTGCTGGCCCTCCGGCCGCTCCCGGCGCCCCCATTCGGCCCAGGAGACCGCGGAGTAGCGAGAGGGCGCGGGCGGACTGAGCCATGACCGCGAACCCCCGGCTTCCGCGAGATTGCATTTAATCTGTAGTTTTCCTTGTGTACTATAGCTACCTCCAGCATATTTCATTTTCAGATCCGTGAACACAGGTTGTCTTTCAGGTTATTTGTGTTTTCTTCCATTCCTTTTATAACTGTCTTATAGGACTCACTGTACAGATGGTTCACATTTTGGTTGAATTTATTCCTTTGGGTTTTGTTGTTTTTCATTCCTTGATAAATTTGATAGCATTCTTCATTTTTCCATCAAAGAATTTACTATTAGGTTGTAGAAATGGAATTAATGGTTGTATGTTTATTTTGCATCCTGTAACTTTTCTGATTTTAATTCTTCATTCTTCTTTTATCTTCACCCGAATAGTGAGGATATTTTTTCCACTGATTGTTTCTTTAGTGAGAGAGTAGAAGACAGAGAGAAAGAGAAAACTCGATTGGCTGCCTCTCACATGTTGCCTCTACTGTGATTGGAACGGACCTGCAACCCAGGTATGTACCTTTGAGTGGGAATCAGACCCTAGCCCTCCAGTGCACAAGGCAGCACTGACATCAGTGAAGCACCGTGGCTAGGTGTATTTATTTATTCTTTAAATTATTCATTTATTTGTTTAAATATATGTACTGTTTATTTCCTAGAGGAAGAGGATAGAGAGTCATTGATCCGCTGGCTCCTTCATGACCCCCCACTGGTGATTGAGCTTGCAACCAGTGCAGGTGTCCTAACAAAGAATCAAATTGTGACCTCCTAGTTCAGTGATGGCGAACCTTTTGAGCTTGGCGTGTCAGCATTTTGAAAAACCCTAACTTAACTCTGGTGCTGTGTCACATATAGAAATTTTTTGATATTTGCAACCATAATAAAACAAAGATTTATATATTTTTTTATTTTAAATATATTTTATTATTTTTTACAAGAGAGGAAGGGAGAGACATAGAGAGTCAGAAACATCGATGAGAGAGAACCATCAATCAGTCGCCTCCTGCACCGTGGGGGATGTGCAGGAGGCAGCTGATCAATGTTTCGATGTTTCTAAATATCTCTCTCCCTTCCTCTCTGTAAAAAATCAATAAAATATATTTTTAAAAAAAGATCTACAGGCTATCGTGGCCTGTACTGGGGTTGTCCCTGGCTCTCTCTCCCTTTGCTGGCTCTCCAGCTGGCCTGGTGTTGCCCCTTGACTGTGGGCTCAGGGGCCTCCAGCCCAAGCTGCTGACTCTGACCACAGCCTCACTCTGGGCTGCGTTCATTTGCATCGCGCTGCTGAGGGTGGAAGCTAAATAGGCTCCAACCCATTTACAAGAGGATTAGGCCTGGACTGGGGGCGCGGTGAAGGCCCAGCTCCACTCCCTGAGCCATCACCATGCCCTACATGCTGCCAGGATTCTTCTGTGAGCGTGTGATCCGGGAGAGGGGCAGGAGAGATGGAGAGGGCACTGTCACACAGCCCCTCAGGTTCGAGGGGCAGGATTTTGTCATTCTCAAACAAAGCTGTCTGGCTCAGAAGTGCCTCTTTGAAGACCATGTGTTCCCAGCTGGTGTTCAGGCCCTGGGTTCCCATGAGCTGAGCCAGAAAACCAAGATGAAGGCCATCACATGGAAAAGACCAAAGGTAGGGATGGGAGCTTTTTAAAATATATATATTTTATTGATTATTTTACTGAGAGGAAGGGAGAGGGACAGAGAGCCAGAAACATCAATGAGAGAGAAACATCGATCAGCCGCCCCCTGCACACCCCCCACCGGGGATATGCCCACAACCAAGGCACATGCCCTTGACCGGAATCGAACCTGGGACCCGTGAGTCTGCAGGCCGACGATCTATCCACTGAGCCAAACCGGTTTCGGCTTTTTTTTTTTTAATATATTTTATTGATTTTTCACAGAGAGGAAGGGAGAGAGAGATAGAGAGTTAGAAATAATGAGGAGAGAGAAACATCGATCAGCTGCCTCCTGCACATCTCCTACAGGGGATGTGCCGGCAACCCAGGCACATGCCCTTGACCGGAATCGAACCCGGGACCCTCCATTCCGCAGACCGACGCTCTATCCACTGAGCCAAACCGGTTTCGGCGAGGGCTACATTTTCTGAATGTTATACATAAGCTTTGGTAGGTTGTCTTGCCTCTAGACTTTTTTGAGATCTCTCTCTTTTTTTTTTGGTTACCCTGAAAGTCTTATGTCTTTATTTATTATTCCTTTTGCATAGAGAGGAAGGGAAATGGGGGGAGAGCGATGAGGGAGAAACATCAATCGGCTGCCATGTGCACAATTGAAAACCGGGTATGGAACCCACATTCTGATATGTGCCCCAACTGGGAATTGAACCCTTGACCCTTCAGTACACAGGACGCTGCTCTAACCAACTGAGTCACACTGGCCCGGGCATTGTGTGGTTCTTTGAAACAAAAATTTCCAGGTTTTTGGCCGAAACCGGTTTGGCTCACTGGATGGAGCGTCGGCCTGCGGACTGAAGGGTCCCGGGTTCGATTCCGGTTAGGGGCATGTGCCTGGGTTGCGGGCACATCCCCAGTGGGGAGTGTGCAGGAGGCAGCTGATCGATGTTTCTCTCATCATTGATGTTTCTGACTCTCTATCTCTCTCCCTTCCTCTCTGTAAAAAATCAATAAAAATATATTAAAAAAAAAAAATTTTCCAGGTTTTTGGAGAACAGGCCACTGGGATCAATGAGAACAGAAGCACAGTGGCTCATAGTGGTATCGCTGACCCTTTATTTTTATTTTTTATTTACAATATATTTTTATTGATTTCAGACAGCAAGGAAGAAGGAGAGAGAGATAGAAACATCAGTAATGAGAGAGAATCATTAATTGGCTGCCTCCTACATGCCCACAG